TAAAATCTTCAAAAAACACTGTATCTCGGCTAATTATTATTTTCTTAGTTTTTAAATCGTATAGCCGGTAACCTTTACTTTCACTCCTGTATCCTAACAGAATGCATTCAACCGATTTATCACTTAACTTCGCTCGTTTTTCTTTAGGAACGCGGACCATGGCTTTACACCCAAAAACACGAATGTGGTTTAAACTCGGTTTTTTTTTATTGTTCCATATTTCTTCTGGGCATTTTTTGTTACTCCTGCATGGCAGCAAGTTCATTAAATAAACAGCAGTCACGGCTGCTTCAGCCCAAAAGTTTTGTTTTAAACCAGATTCTAATAACAAGCACAGCACTCTGTCCATTTTAGATCGATTCATACGTTCCGTAACCCCGTTTTGTTGCGGTGTGTATGGGGAAGTTTTTTGATGAAGTATACCTACTTTTATAGAAAACTATTAAATTCACCATTTATAAATTCCGTTCCATTATCCGTTCTTAACGTTTTTATCTTGCGTTCGCATTGATTTTCCACAAGATTCTTAAATTTAACAAACTCGTGGAAAACTTCCGATTTCTTTTTGATCGGCACAGCAAATGTTTTACGCGAGTAGTCGTCAATAAACACTACTAAAAATTTTGCGCCACCAATTAATTTTACATTTATGGGCCCCATGACATCGGCATGGATAAGATCGAGAAGGTTCCGTGCACGAGTACCTATATTGGAAAATGGTATACGGGCTTGCTTGCCCTTTACACAAACAACGCATCAGTGTTGAGTCTATACTTCTTCTACGTCTTTCACTGTAGCTTCTACACCCGTGCTTAACATAAATTTTCCATCGGCTGAACATTTAACAGGTATTTTATTGTTATTCGCTACCGTCACACTTTTATTTTTAATACTTCGCTTATTAAATAGTACTTCACCCTCGTTAATCACATGCGCACTCGCACCTGAATCTACGAACCAGTCAGCTGATTTTTCGCCACTTGTCAAAAAGGAAGCAAGGAGAATTGCTTTTGTGCTCTTGTTCTTAGAAGGGTTGTATTTTTTAGTTCTATTTGGGCAATTTCTACTATAGTGTCCGAATTCTTTGAACGAATAGCACTGTATTTTAAACTTGCATTTTTTGTTGTTTTTACAATTAAACGCGCTTTCACTACTCCTTTTATCAAATTTTGCATCTTGTAGTAGTAAATTTTTAACTGAGTCTACTGTCAACTTCGTGTTTGTATTTTCAACCGCTATAACTAGGGAGCGGAATTCCCCAGGAAGCCCTGCCAACATTAGTGAAGCTACTAATTGTTCATCTATATCGAGTCCTGCACTTTGTACTTTTAAGGACGTCATTACTACATTATTTGTATAGTCTTGCATGTTATCACTGTCCTCGAGCTTCAATTGTACTAATTGCTTGAACAGTTCGACTTTTCGCGTGAGTCCATTATCTTCATATGCCGCTACGATTGCATTCCAAGCTTCTTTCGGACTTCCAGCTTTCGCAATGTGTGCAAAGTTATTGGGTTCCACCATTAGGGTGATTTCAGCCATCGCACGTTCATCCGAGTCCAATTCTTTCTGTTCACGCTTCTCCGATAGTCCCTGTTCTACTATCTTCCAGGAGTTTCGCAACACGAGGTAGGACTTAGCATGCCTCCTCCATGTGTCGAAATTCTCGCGACCACGAAGCTTTTCGAATGGGAACGTTACTCCACCATTGCCTGCCATTTTATCGACGTTTTGTAAATTAATCACTTTATATATTGACAAGATGAGTTGTTTATAGGGTTCTATACATAAAGCTTTAGATTAATTTTTATTTATTTTACGCGACAAAGGCCCATAACCTATTGTAATAATATTAGATATTATAAGCACGTGGAAGAAAACACGTCACGTCGTTAAGAAATCGCACCGGAAGAGAGATAGTTTTATTCAGATAATTCAAGTTCTTAAAATTAGTTCACAATAGTATGTTACAATGGGTATTCAATCACAATAATAAGATATAGTAAAACACCCTCCAAAATCTTGTACAACCCTGACAACGCCCCTGATCTACACCAATCATTTTGATTGGAAAATTGTTTTTTTTTTGATTTTGTTTGTACTTTACTTTTGGATGTGTCAGTAAATATAAACAAAATCAAAAAAAAAAAAACAAATTTCCAATCAAACTGATTTGTGTAGATCATAGGGCGTCTGATGCGAAGATCTTATTTTATTGTATTTATCATGATAAAAACATAGTTAGGTAAACCGTTCTCTCAATTCGTCGGCCACGATTTTTTTTTTTGAAGTTTGCCAACATTTTAAAATCATATAAAATTGAGAGTAACAAAAAGGAATTGTTCAAAGTTGTTGTTGTTTGAGATTGAAAATGAGAATGTGTGTGTGAGTTTGTTTGTAAAACTTTAAAATTAAATTGTTTGCAAACGTCAAGAATTCGAAAAACTCCTCTCAGCGGTTCTACCTTCCTATTTTTTTATCATGGTATTTATTATGTTTCTACCTCATGTAAAGTTGAGAGAATGAAGTCAAATATGTTTTTGGTCAATTACGATATTTGATTTCACTGTTAAAAAATGGAACTAAAGAATTCTCCAGGGTGCTTGCGCATTTCATTTACTTCAATAATAAAATTATTTGCAACATCAATGCAGTTCCACACAGAGCATAGACTAGCTAATATAATATAGTATGGTTAACTGGATAAGAAAATTCATATGACAACAATAAGGAATCTCCTCTACATTTGTCCACGCAGTTTAATAATAATAATAATAATAATAGATTGGCGCTTACACATATGTTAGTGTTTGGCCGCGCTTCTCCTCCAACTTGTGGCGTACGCCTTGATGTTGTCACACAAAGCGGAGGGACCTACAGTTTTACGCCTACTCCGAACGGCGATTGTATTTTTATGAGAAGCTGTTTTTCATGGCAGAAATACACTCGGAGGTTTGCCATTGCCTGCCGAGGCACGACCGCTGTTAAGGAAAACCTTTTTTCTATTTTTTTTCCATGTTGCTTAGTTCCAGTTTACTTAGTTCAAAAATTTCGTTACACACAAAGGGGAGGAACCTACAGTTCTACGCCGACTCCGAACAGGACAAAGTGATTAATTTCGACGGAAAAAATAGAAAAACAAAATTCTTTAAATGTTATCATACACACCGTTATAATACTCCTTATAAACCAGTCCACAATGTAACCTACAAGTTTTGACTTATAACGCAACGCAGTAGCTCTAGCAGAAGTCCAAAGTTGGGTTTTCTATCGATCTTATCGATAGTTTCAATTTCATACCACTATCGATGAATGGAAGCCATATCGCGATACTATCGGAAACCTTCAACAACAAAAAATTGCCAAAGATCAGCGATAAGCCCTAGCTACTTCAAACTTGCAATTTTTACTAAAACTTAATGGACTACAACAGTGCATAGATACTCAAAATTTTTCTAAGAAATCTAATTAAAAAACTCGAAATTTTGATGACTCGAAAAACTCGAATTTTCCTCGTTTTTGTAAGTTGTTTAAAATTTGGACTTGCAATGTGTTGTTTTTGTTGCTTAAAATAACTAATTTTGCTATTTTTAATAAAGCACACTAAAATGGTGATTAAAACTAACATTTCGGTTTTTTCTACTAATATTACCATATTCAATATAAACAGTGCCGAACTATCTGTTGAGGACATGAGTGCGAATCTCATCAACCTGTGAAAGATGACATCCACTAGTTGTAAACCCTAACATCGTTTTTACCTATTTCCATATGATATGCAATTTTCTGAATATGTATCAATTGCTTGGCTAATGTGCCATATGAATTGTAATTTTCTGAATATGTATCAATTTCTTTGCAACCCTGCATACATTTGCTCGTATATCGTATTCAATTTGTCTTTTGTAACTTATACGCGACGATACGGGGCCGCCCGATCGCGCAAATCTTGAGTTTTTATTACGCTTCTGACCGCCATCGAGATCACATCGACTGAATATCCGCATTAGCCCCTCAGGCACCTTGAATTCGACACACATACCGTTGTAACTAATAATTAACTGAATAAAACTAAGCAAGAGTTTTGCAGCTCTAACTGCTAACCACTACACCATAGCGGTCGCTAATTGTTAGTTTTTGAAAATTTTTAAATCTTCTTTATTCCCATGTAATCATATTTGTTGCATATGCCCTTATGTACAAACATTAGTTCACTTACTAAAATATTTATCAAACTAGGGCAACTTAGGGCAAATCAACTTCTACAAATTTACTTGAATTAACATCCTATATC